AAGTCACCGACTTTATGAATAGATCATTGAATCATTCACTCAAACGATTTGTTCAAAAACAGATTCATTCAGGAAGGAAACACTGCAGTGTTGCTCTGAGAGGCACAATTGTTCTGCTCCGGCTTTGTCTATAACTACAGAAACAGAAAATGTCTAAAATATACTACACTTAATATTAACCTCGTTTGTTGAACTGTTTTATAAAATTAATATCACATTTGCAATCGTGCTCATATGCTAATATTTAGGAAAACAGCACTGTTGCTGGTGTGATATATTACTTAAATGTATATATAAAAACAAAAAACCATACAGGGATATTTTTGGGCTTTTATAACTTGAATTATAGCGGCATTCTAACTGCATTCTTATAGGCTTCATCCTGCAGTATTTTGGACTCTCAAAAGATATAGGCCTGTCGAGGACAAATAAATGACACTAAAACCACCTGTAGGTGGCAGCAAGTTCTTGTCTTAATGAGTGATTCATTGAATCATTCATTCAAACGATTGATTTAAAATGACTGATTTGTTTAGAAATGAAGCAAGTCACCGACTTTATGAATAGATCATTGAATCATTCACTCAAACGATTTGTTCAAAAACAGATTCATTCAGGAAGGAAACACTGCAGTGTTGCTCTGAGAGGCACAATTGTTCTGCTCCGGCTTTGTCTATAACTACAGAAACAGAAAATGTCTAAAATATACTACACTTAATATTAACCTCGTTTGTTGAACTGTTGGTGTGATATATTACTTAAATGTATATATAAAAACAAAAAAACATACAGGGATATTTTTTGGCTTTTATAACTTGAATTATAGCGGCATTCTAACTGCATTCTTATAGGCTTCATCCCGCAGTATTTTGGACTCTCAAAATGTGGTTTTGTTTGTAGTTTTTTGCAAACGAACGACATACTCTATAATGTCAGCTTGCATATTGTTAAAACAACAATTACGATATTTTTGCAGATGATAAATATTGCACACACCTATTCATATCTGTCATTAAATATGCAACAATTTACTTTTTGCCAATAAACGCAGCAGGGTTTGGAGTTAAGAACAAGCTGCATTTTAAAAATAAATACAGAAACCGAATGCAAAACAATAAAACAACAAACACAACACATCTTTCTATTGCTTGTCTTGCAAGCGTTCAGCATGACTAGTGAAGTTTGATTCAAACGAATGAATCATGAGTAGGGTTGGGTATCGTGTGAATTTGATCAATTCCGATTCCACTTATCGATTCCGATTCCCAGTTTCAATTCCAATGTGGTTAAATAATGATATCAAACATTTATCCTGTCTCTTTTTTGCAAACCATTTATTGGAGCGGAGTACCATGAACAAAAATCAACAGGCTACATAAAAACTGGACTCCTTAAGTTTGTGTGCAAAATAGAACGGCATGATTCTCGATAAATTGAGGGGGGGTTTTTCCCCAATGGAAGCTGTGGTTCTCTCATGATTCTGAAGAAAAGAAAAAAAAGAAGAAGAAGAAAAAGCGCATAGGAATCGATAGGCGGAAACAATTTTAATTTGACAACAAGTATCCGATTCCTGACCTTAAGTATCCGATTCTGGAATCGGAATCGATTTTCGTTTCCCAACCCTAATTATGAGTCAGTTCCTTGGTCAAGAAGACTCATGAATCAGTTGGTTTCAAACCGGTTTATACTTCAGACTTAAATCAGCGGTCAGTGTTAAATCACCGGTTGATCATCACATGATTTAATTTACCATTTAAAGTACAACTCCTCATGATTCCCAGTTTCAAACACCAACATTGTCTTGTCCTCGAGTCTTGCACTGTTGCACAGATAATAAACTCTGTTATATGCCAGTCCGTAGTTCTTGTTTTTGCACTGGTGTGTGTAATCTATTCTCGTCCGCGGCCAACGTCGCTGTCCTATTGCTATCTCAATTAAACAAACCCCATGTATTCAGCAAGGAGCGACCTACACAAAGGGCTATTGTTACCAGTGACACAAGGCGCGTCCAGATCCTCACTTTCTCCCTCGCAAACAGGCCAACGGTCACATTAGCATCGGTTTCAATGGGAGAACGGCCGCTAATGACAGCATGTATCAAATCCCCTGCGCGGAGCCACGACAGACGCGGAGATCGAAGGGGGAGGGAAACGTACAACGAGGGCCCGCCACGTGGGATTCTCCGCAAACAACGCTGTTTGAGACCAACTGACGGATGCAGGACTACGAGAGCATCTCTCATCCCAGATAAACAGACTTAGGAATTTAATGAGCCACGGATGACTCGTCCTAAACTCTCCTAAACCCGCTAGTTAATCCATCAAGTGCACTTATGCTTCCTTCAAGTCATGTCAGAATTATTGTATATTTATGAGATGAGTGCTCACTGAGCGCCACCACAATGTCATAATTATCAGCAGAAAAACTCAGGATTTTCCTTAAGCCCAGACTTTGAGAAAGGGGTGTATCAATTAAGAATTTATTAAACATAAGTTGTCATTTTCAATATTTACTGTATAATTTTGCATGCATTTTCTTGCCTGAAATACTCATTCCACGTTTTTCGAGGTGACAGGCTTGTGTAACCAAACTACATTTCCCATCATTCTCTGGAGCTACACAAAAAAAATGACAAAATACTAGGGTTGTTAATTTAGTGTGATTAGTGACTTAAAATACTCAAAATAGTGAATGCAATTAAATCACTATTGCAATAAAAAATATTAATTTTTTTATTTAAATGTCTCTTTTACTGTGAATGGCCTCTAACAAAACTCATAACTCACTAATAAAAATTACTATAATTTTTAATAAGGAAATAAAATACACACAAAGGTTCCTATCTTCATTGGGAAGTTAAAAAGGAGAAAGAAATATGAACTGCCTGAAGTGTCTATTTAATTCAGACTAAAATCACATTGATTTCCAAGCTATGTGCATGTAGAGAAGCAATAAAAATATTGCAAACAAAACTCAATGCTTTGGTGTGAAGCAATTTCAGTAATTTAGTCATTTGCCACAATTTGATCACAAAATGATCTTCATTTGGCTGCTTTTCTTAGCTAATACTGATATGCAATTTATTAAAATAATTAATCTGCATGTTATGAAACTCAATTAGAATTTTTCAGTGATTGAGAGCCGTACAAAATGCATAAAGCATTGAGACATATCATTCACGGCTCATTTTGTTGCACTACTGTTAAAAAGCTTCCTGTCTTTGTTGGGAAGTGAAAAAAGAGAGAAAGCAATTAAACTGCTCAAAGTTCCACTGCATTCTGACCAAAATCACAACGTAATCACGATGAAGTAAGAAACTGCCAGGAAGGTTGGAGAAAGTACTTCTGCACAAGTGGAAAGTGCTATTTTAGCAACCCAAATTTGGAGCATCCACCTAAATTGGATCAATCAATGAGCAGACTTGCTCTGAAAGCGATTATCTTGTGAACAGATTGCATCATGTCAATGAGGTCAAGCTCCCAGTGAATGGAGCTCATCCGGACCCCGCAGCAGGCAACGGACAGACCCTTTTCAAAACGCTGCAATAGCTCGATGTTTTCAGCAAGAACTGAGAGGAACTAAGTCATTCACCGAGTAAAGTTAACTCAAATGTTTCCTGTCAGAAATGTCCCTGACACAGGTGGTATGTCAAGCATGCATGTCAACAGATTTCTGGCGGTTATAGGTGTTATGACTCAGATTTCCCATGACAGTGACTCTTAGTACATTGTTTGTAACACGTTCCACACATTCATTTAGAATAAAACACTAGAGTTAAAAAAAAAAGCTTTTTTATAACCAAAGCCAACAGAAATGTCTAGAAAACAAGGCGGCACATACACACACGTACATATAACTCGATGCACACAAAACTCATGAATTCAACATTAACTCTCAACTAATTCACAAAACAATATTTGAGAACAGAAAACATGCAATTCATTGACAATACATACGATTTTGGTATTGACACTTGGTGAACCACTGTTAATCGATTAGACACAATTATTGACCAATTGCTGATTCAAAATGGCCAAATATCAACCAAATAATAATCTTAACCCATCCATTACTAACGAAACAATTTTGCCAATTTTTGTCCCCAAATAAAAAAACTTTACTAATGCAAAATATGGTGGCAAATATCAATAACTAATAGTTCACTCAGAAATATGGGTAGGTGATACTATAATCAATGTCACATCCAAAAGTATTTGTAAACACTTCATGTATTGTGCATTTAATGACCTCTAATAATTGAGAGACATGGTATTTACAAAACAATTTTTAAATGTAAGATCTCTCACCACAGCACTATTTAAGTTAAATGCAATAACATGGTGATTTAACTAGTTAAAATAAAAATAAACGAAATGGTGGCTGCTTACACAGCATCTAAAACATATACCGTGTTCATTATATATATTCAAATAAATATTTTCGTACATTTTAAAACAATATATTTGCATCATCACTTACGATATTTCAGTATGACACACACTGATTAATTATGTTAAAAAAGTTCATATGTCATTAGTCAACTACCCACATATACAGATGTGAACAGACAATAGAAATGTATCACAAACGAACGGAACGTTGTAACATCGATTTGTTCACTCAGAGTTCATTCGCTTTCAGTGTTAACAGACAAAGAGTGACGCTCAAAATCATTTGAGATATCGGTCTTCCAGTCAGAAGTGCGCCGGAGGAACACTTGAGCAAGTGTCCTCGATCACAAAAGAAGTTGTCTGCTGGATTCGAGCACATGGCAGAAGCGATGGAACGCTCGCGTTTAAATGTTTCCGATTTAGAACGCCGTGAAATTCGAAATGTGAACAACAAACAAGAGCACTTGAGAAACAATACAGAAACCGAAGCTCAGCCTGATATCCGCCCATGCGCTTCATGTCAACTTGCCTGTAGAATGTTAACTTTCTGCGTAAAATATAAAGTCCACCGACACCACAGACAGCGGCAAGCTGGATTTGGTTACTCACGTTGAAGCACGCCGAGCCGTGTTCCGCTGAAGCGCGTCAGTAGTCGCTGCGTTCTGCTGCTCAAACTGTTTCCTCCATCCGCGCTGCGCACAGATCACGCCGCACAGCAACGCTACCAAACCCCTATGCCGTTGCCAAAGCAACAGACCCACTTCAGCCAATCATAACCCCTCCCCTTCGATATCCCCTGGCAACTGCTGCGCGCCATTCCACTCTATTTAATGTGTTTTCACCTTGTTTTCCTCCTCCTTAATATGAATGAATTTGTTTTCGGATCTTTTTTCCCCATTTAATCTGTAGCTGAAATGAAATATCCCCCTAACTTATAGAACTGAGTTTTTGATTCCCAGTTTGGGCTTTTCACATTTGAAATTGTGCAGGCTATATCTAACCCTTGATTGGAGATCAGCCTTTAAAAATACTTTTACTCTGTGCTGGTCCACTCTAATCAGATTGAGGAGCTAAAAAGACTTGAAGGACTTGAACAATTGAGTTAAGAAATGTTTTGGTCTGATTCTCCAAAGCAAGCTTTTTTTTCAAAGCAAGGATTTTTCTTTGAGAATAAGAGTAAACATGGATCATATTTGTTTAGGAGGTGTTAAGGAGCTGTTTGCCACTGGGCTTGGTGTTTGACCACTATTTGCCATGCTCATACACTGTTAGACATTTCAAAGGGTTTTTACAGTAACTTACTGGCAACACTGTTGCTAGTAAGTTACTGTAATTAAGATTTACAGTAGCAAACTGTATTTGGTTTACAGTTGCAAACTGTACTTTTTACAGTAAATTACTGTAAAAAATCTAATTAATCAGTATACTACTGTAATTAATTCATTTGAATATATTTAATTAGATTTTATAATTTTTATATAGAACTGATGCCCCGGTATATTTCTGAAGCACAGATGTACTCGAAGCACTCGCGCTGTTTCTGACATAAAGGACAAACAGATTTTCCAATCATTACAAGCTTTGTAACATCCAGTGTAGTCAGTCCCAAGCTGTTGCGGCGTTGTAGACACGGTGTAAGTCAAATCTTGTCAATCCAAATGTGAGAAATGAGGAAAATAAAGCAGCCTCAATAGAATGGCGCCAAAGAGGCCGTTATGGCAAATAAAGTAGTATACAGCAATTTTAAAAAATACAGTAAGTTACTGTATGTGGGGTTTGACGTCACAGAAAATTCCCATGATGCAAAGGGTATTACAGTTACTTATTGCAAAGCGAATTTGCAGTATTATACTGGGTGATATACAGTAAATAACTGTAGAAATGTCTAACAGTGTACATCAGCATTCTTTGCTGGTAATCGAACTGCGTTTCTATCAAACATTCGCAATTTTTTCACTTAATATAGACATAGAATCAGAAGCACATGATTGGTTGATAAAATGTTGTTCAGGGTCTAAGACTCACCTTAAAATCTGATTGGTCAATAAGACTGTCCAACAAGCATGTAGATCCAGGAATGTGTACTATGTTAAAGTCAACATGACCCTATTTAATTTCTAAATATACTGTACATTCATGGTTTTATTGCACATATAAGGGCATGTTTTTGTAATCACTTATATAATAACTTGCTCGCTTTAACTTGCTCAAAATCTTTCAATCTGGATTTATTCTGGTCTGCCATTTTTCCATTTTTTTCTGATCCAATAAAATGCCCAGTTAATGTAAAAAGTAAATATAAAAATGTATGCAAATGTAAAAAAGTCCCTGTATTTTTTCACTGAATATCCCATTTCATTCAGAAACACGACAAATAATTTGAGTAAAATAGGTTGCATGTTGACTTGAAGTATGTTTGAGCAGCTGGACATGTACAAAGGATTAGAAGTCAAAAAAGAATAAAGGAAATGTTCTCTGTACATTTTACAACTCGTTGCTTCACTAATATTTTGTTTATTATGTATTTTTTCATTATCATTTTTTACATTTATCTTATTTTACCTACTATATATTTATATTTAAGTGGCTGACCAAGTTTACATTTCACTGCAAGTTGTATCCTGTATGTAACTGTGTTTGTGACAAATAAAAATCTTGAATATTGGGACTAAAAGTGCATGTTATTCCAAATAAAAATGTTTGTTTTTGTAAGCATTTATGAAAATTGAATATTGAACTTGCTTTGAATATCTTTCCTTTATGTCTGGCATCTCAGATTTTTCAACCTGGCTTCAGTCTGGTTTGCAATGGCCAATTTTTAGATCCAATAAACTTCCAATTAAGTTCCATCTTTCATGTTGTTTCATTGAATATCCCATATCATTCGGAAACACACAAAATCATTTGAGTAAAATAAGTTGCATGTTTGCTTGAGTGCTTGGACATACATGAAGGATTAGACGTCAAAAAAAGAATAAAGGAAAGGATTTATTTATATATATATATATATATATATAAACAATATTAATAATAATTAATATTATTATAATAATATTATTAACAGTATTAATGATAATTATTATTTATTATATTTTTTAAATCAAATTTTACCACTTTTAATCCATCTAAATAGCTGACCAGATTTACACTTCACAGCAGGTTGTATCCTGTATATAACTGTGTATGAGACAAACAAAAATCTTTAATCTCAGAACTGAAAGTGAAAGGAAAGGACACAGAGATGCACCATAGATGAAGTGAGCCGGGGTCCATTATTGGATGGACGGTGTGTAAGGGTGTGTCCATGCAGTCTGTGAGTGGGCGGTGTGCATTTGTGTGCATGTGTGTGTGTGTGTGTGTGTGTGTGTGTGTGTGTGTGTGCTGGTGTAGTGGTCAGATACCCTGCTGCTTTTATAGCCCATAAATCTGAGCAGGCCAGCGGCTGCTGTAGTCAGCTCACTGAGAGCCTTTCATGCAGAAAATGAACCAGACCATTTGAAAGTAAGTGCAAACGCCTCGCTTCACACACACACACACTGTATGTCTGCCCCGGCCAATACACAGACACTCCACTCCATTCCAGCCAGCTTTAAGCTAATAAAACACTCCATTAATGACGAGCATAGTTTGTTTGCAAGATACTTCCATCTCACTTTCCATGATAGACGTTCTTGCTCTCACACATGCATGGAACGCGCTTGTTGCTGTACTTAATCAAAACGTGCCGTGACACCATATCTGGCAGTGGAGGGTTATTGAATTAAGGCAGCTCTTTAATGTACTCTAGTCTGCAAACCCATCTCTGCAGTCTTCAGTATCTCATTAAAGCGAGACGCCTTTCTGTAATTTTATCATCTCACATGCAAACTTGCTTGACCTACACGCCATCCGGAAGAAATCAACATTTATGCTTTTCCTCTTTCAGAATAAAATCACCTTCATCTCTCTCTGTTCAAAAAATAATGTATCATAAAAGGATAGACTAAGTTATGCTTGCCTGTGCATAAGTCGCTGCCATGGTACTAGAGTGTTCTGCATAGTTGCTAGGGCATCTGGTTGCCAGAGTGTTGCTATTAAGTTGCTAAGAGGTTTTGGGTAGTTCCCAGAGTGTTACTAATTTTTAGAGTGTTTTGGGAGGTTGTCAGGGTGTTGTTATGCAGTTGTTAGGGTGTTTCGGGTGGTTGCCAGAGTGTTGCTATGCAGTTACTAGATGTTTTGGGTGGTTCACACTTGTAGCTAGAGTGTTTTGGGAGGTTGCCAGGGTGTTGTTGTGCAGTTGCTAGGGTGTTTTGGGTAGCTGCCAGGGTGTAACTAGTTGCTAGAGTGTTTTGGTGGTTGCCATGGTGTTGCTATGCAGTTGCTAGGATGTTTTGGGTGGTTCACAGAGTGTTACTAGTTGCTAGAGTGTTTTGCGAGGTTGCCAGGGTGTTGTTATGCAGTTGCTAGGGTGTTTTGGGTGGTTCACAGATTGTTACTAGTTGCCAGAGTGTTTTGCGAGGTTGCCAGGGTGTTGTTATGCAGTTGCTAGGGTGTTTTGGGAGGTTGCCAGGGTGTTTCTATGCAGTTGCTAGATGTTTTGAGTGGTTTCCAGAGTGTTACTATTTGCCAGAGTGTTTTGGGAGATTGCCAGGGTGTTGCTATGCAGTTGCTAGAGTTTGGGTTGTTGCCAGAGTGTTGCTATGCAGTTGCTAGATTGTTTTAGGTGGTTGCTAAGGTGCTACTATGCAGTAGATAAGATGTCACTATGGGTGTTTTGGGTGGTTGCCAGAGTGTTGCTATGTAGCTGCCAAAGCGTTACTATGCCGTTTAACATATTTTTTTGCCTGGTTGCTAAGGTATTATTATGCAGTCGCTGAGGTGCCTCTGTGGGGCCAAAACATCTCAACTACATATTTAGGATTAAAATTCAATGTTTGTAAAATACTTAAAGTCAACACACAATGTATGTCTCAATCAGTTGAAAATCCAGCAAAACACATGAGCTGCCGCCTTCACTGTCAGGCAGTTTAAGAGCATTTACATAGATAAAGGCGTAAGGGTAGCCAAACCGGGTAAACAAGAACTATTTGCATTCACCTGAGGGCAAGTGCAGACTAACTGTGGCACTCCCATCGGCCATCTGCTTTTCTTTTCTTGTCTTTCTAAAAATAAACACCATATGTCAGTTTTCATCTTATTGTCCTGTACATTGTGGCTTGAAATAGTGTGTAATTTAGCACTTAACATATAGATTCTGGTTGGATGACTTTTGGAAAGAATATTATTACTATCTAAAAATGATCTTTTCAAGAAATGCACAAACACACACATACACACACAGATGCACATGAGTGATGCCCAGAGCTGGGTAGTAAGTAACTGATGACATGTAATCTGGATTATGTAATCAGATTTAAAAAATGAAGTACTTGTCATTTGATTAAATTACATTTTAAAATACTTGTAATCAGACTACAGTTACTTTTTTATTGATTCCATGATTACATTGGGTATTGAGTATTCACAAAATAGCAATTAATTATTTATAAGACTCTTTTTCAGCTTTTAAATATTCCTTTCTAAAATAGCCTGCTGCATATATACATTCAGAAAAGCTTCCAGTTTTGTGGACATTCACACAGAGACCAGTCACAGTCAGGTGGCTATAACTAAACAGAAAATCGAAAGGCCACACAGCATTTGACCACTGGACATCATTTCAATGTTTTCTCAACATTTCAACATTGCATCAATAACGAATGAACACAATAATTTTTATTTGAATTATCACTCAGTAGGTTATTTAACCATGAACTACTATGTTTTTGGGAAGCC